TTCAATGATTTATAATCTGGTTTTCTAAAGTCATTGATCAACTGAAACTATTTCCTCCAAGGTTACTAATCACCTCTTAATTACTAAATCTGATGCCTTTTCTTCAGTCATTATCCATCTTGACCTGCTCTACAGCATCTGACTCTGGATCACTTTCAAATAATGGGTAATCTCACTTTCCCTGGTTCTCATGACACTCTTTTCTGCTGTTTCTTCTATATACCAGTCTGACTGCTCCTTCTCAATCTTCTTTCCTAGAGACACGTCCCGTTAACTGTGGGTATTCTCTAAGACAGGGCTTCTTAAACTTTTTCCACTTGTGATGCCTTTTCACCAGAGAAATTTTTACACGACCCAGGGTATATAGGTATATAAAATAGGTTTACAAATCAAACATTTACTGATAATAAATCATAAAGAAATTTATTTTAAAACAGTTCCTTGGTATACATATAATTTTACCATTTATTAAAGATGAAAGCAAATTTGCATACTAATGAGATGGATATGCTTGTTTATTTTTACACAAAGAATTAAATCTTGGTAGAATATTTGATACTGCAGGATGTAGAGTATCTTCAATGTTCTTCAGAACTGATCAATATTTTGATTTTATAATCATCAGTGTTAAGAATGCTGCTTCGCATAAATACATGGTACAATATGGCAGAAGCATATTTAGGGACATTTCAGAAATTGTTGGAAATTCTGTCCTAATCCCAAGCCAAAATTCATTTAATTATTTTGTATGTACAGTAAAAACAATGCAATTCATAACATATAATAGTCTCGAATCTGAACCAAGGTGTTTTGGAAGCATTCATTGCTGTTGCGTGGCACGACAGCATTCGCAGTGCAAAGTGCTCATGTTGTGTATTCAGAACTAAGGTTGCAGTGAAGTTGCATGATGCAACATGGGCAAGCACTGCCAGAAACACCTCGGATTCATTATACATTTGATTTTGAATTAAATTTTGGTTGTTGTGCATTCAGAAACCTTTTACTGTTGCCAAATTTTTCATGACCCCCACATTCAGTTATACAACCCCACATGGGGTCGAGACCCACAGTTTAAGAAGTGCTGCTCTAAGACACTAATATAGGCCCTCTTCTCTTTATATGCCCAATGAATTCAACAGCTCTCCTGGATTCTATCATTTTCTCTTGCCGGTAACTCCCAGATCTACATATCAAACCCTAATCTCTCTCCTGAACTCCAGGACTATATCAACAATTGCCAGGTGAATCACCATCTATTCCTGCATGTACTATAGGAGCTCAGAAGCCATGTGTCCAATACACAACTCATTACCTTCCTTCTTATTTCTGTTGAGGGCACAACCATCCTTCCAGTCACCCACATTTGCAGCCTCTGAGTCATTCTTGACTTTTCTGTCTCTCCCCAACCCAATCAGGTGCAAAGTCTTGTCCATATCCATCTCCTAACCTCTATTCACACAGCCATCACTCTAATTCAACCCTTGTCATTCTTTGCCTAGATCAGGCCTGTATGACATATGGCCTTCAGGCTGCCAAAGGATTTCGGAAGGCCCACAAAAAATGCAGAGGATGTAAAAGAAAGTAAAGATGTAATGAGTGCTTTGTTCACGTCCCACTTAACCCGCCTCCACTAGTCACCATTGTGCCTGTCATGTAACTTGCCGGGTGGGTGGCCACTGCACACTCTCTCCTATTTGTCACATGACCCATGGCAACCAACCATTGTCAGTCTCTAGTCTGAGAGGAGGAAGAGTCATATCTTTACCCTGTGTTTTCGGTCATTACTGGCATTGAACAGGAACAAAGTGAGTGCAACCACACGCCAATGCAGCTGACGCCTGCCATGCAACGAGTGGCAACAATGGGAGGGCTTCTTCCCCTCCCTCACTGCACGGCCGCCCTCCAAGTTATATGAGTGTCTGGCACTCTCCAAGGTCAGACACTCAGTTCGGTACTTCTTTGTACGTGAACAGTTGCTGTGGAGATTTTTTGGTTCTAACATTAAAGTTTTTGGGGTGACGTTGTAAAATGGGTGATAAAAAGAAATGGAAGATTGAATCAGAAGATAAAGTGTTTAATCTGAAGTGGACAAACAGATACTTGCTTACTTACATGAGAGACAAGATGTTGCACCTTGTTTGCCAAGAAGTAAAAGCTGTTCCGAAAGAATACAATTTTCATCACCATTTCGAATTAAAACATCCTGACTTATCAAACTGGACGTCAACGAAAAGCAAATTAAAAAGTCTAAATAGTTGAAAGATCTCAGCAGGGAACAACAGTTTTTCAAGAAAGTAAACTCAGAAAATGAAGCAGCTACTAAGGTTAGTTTTCAGATTTCTAAAGAAATCAATTTCAAACATGATTTCAGAGTTTGATAAACTGCTGACATGAAGCGTAATACATCCCATTAACTATAAACAGGAAGAAAACCTGAAAAATATTTAAATTAAAACTTGCATCACTTAGCAAAGGAATTTTTAACATTAATTTGATTTCATGATAAATAAAAATCTTAAATAAGTATACTTAATTGATATTTATTGAAATTTCTGTCTTTTTAATATGTCTTAATTGCAAAATGGTACCTTTACTTTGAAAGTGAGCCACTAAAAACCTGTGTTTTGAAGAAGTTTAACCTGTTTTAATTTTGGCCTCTACCTACTGCCAAGCTGTGTAGGTCTGGACTAGACTGTTACAGTCAACTCCTAATTAAACTCCAGGCTTCTAGTCTCTCCCCTCTCCAATCCACCTCCCACCCCTGCCAAATTATCTTAAACGAATCTGATTGTGTCACTTCTCTGCTCAAGAATCTTCAGGGGATCCCTATTACCTCTAGGATAAAACATACTACTCTATTTTACCCTTAAAGCCCTTCACAATCCAATTCCAGTCTACCTTGATAAATTTATTCAATTGTAGTCCTCTTCAGGAACTCTACATTTCCACCAAATTGGACTACTTACTATTCCCCCAAAATTTGACATCCCATCCCCTGTCCCCAGTGCCTTTGCACATGCTGTCTCCCATGCCCAGAATGCTCTCCCTCCTCTCCACCATCTTTTAGGATCCTTTACCTCATTTAAGTGTCCATTCATGAACTACCTCCTACAGGAAACCCTTCCTGATCCCTCTTGTCAGCACTGTCTCCACCTTATATTATCAAGTTTGTTATCTGATTACATGTGGTATCCCAAAAGTAAGGACAGGGTTGGTCTTAATTTTGCCTTTGTATCCACAGGTCCCCAGGACAAGGTCAGGCACACAGTAGATGCTTAACAAATGCTTGTTGGATTGGATTTTCTTTTTCATTCTTCATCCCTGGACTAAATGATGCTAAGAGGGCATCCCCTCATTTACTACCTGAAATCCCTTCACTGGTGGATAAAGTGAACTGTTTTGTAATACGCTCAATTTCTAATATTTTTGCTGCTGTGGTGCTTGGAACACTCAAATATTTAATTTGGCCAACAGGGGAATCCCACCAAGGCACTCACTATACTCTACTGTTTGACTAGCTAGAACCTATCACTAGGAATTGATACAACTGACCTACTAAGTGTTATCTATTAAGGATATTCCAAAGACATGGCATGAACAGTCAACAAATGGAATGGATAAAGTGTGACATTTGAAAAGAGCAAATGGATGTTGGCCCCCAGAAGGACTATAACAACTCATCTCCATGGTGGTCAAGTAAAGTCATTTGGCCAGGGGTTATTGAACTTGGCACTCAAGTGACCTAAAGCTGACTATGCCTTGACAGACATGCAGACTGGAAGCCAAGAAGAAAAGCAAAGAAACCACTGGTCTGGAGGAAACATATGCACACCTCACCTGCATACTTATACCACCACAAATAGTATAATCATTGTACTGACAGCTTGCCAACATCATGTGAGTAATATCCACACATAAGCAATATTCTTATCTTTTTAAGCTACTAAAAAATGTCTAAAGAATTCAATTTTAAATTCACTCTTTACTTGTGATAGCCAAAACCTAAATAAGACCTAAAAATAAACGAAGGCAGAACCCATTTCTCAAACAGCACATTTGGAGCACTGGAAAGATATATGAGGTGAGGGGGAGGGAAGGCAGTCATACCCCTCTGGTTTTTCTCACTCCCTTTGCCAATTTGGAACTAGGGAATAAAATACACAAGAGATAACGGGAGGTATCCATCCTCTTTTTGTTGGAAAGGCTAGATAGTTCAAGTGTATAAGTGTCTGAACACGTATATGTTTTTGTGTATGGGTATCATTTTACCTTGGTTAACAAATCCCAAAGAAAAACAGGGGATGAAGAGGATCAAGGAAAGTTCCAGCGTCAACACTAGGTCAACGGCAGTAGAAACCACATCCCAAAGCCGAGGGGAAGAACGCAACCTCATGACTCAAAAGAACTGATCGGCAAGGCGTACACAAGTCCCACAGTCAAGGCCGCTGCTGTGTTTCGTCTCACAGGGCACCGGAGTAGTCATCTCTACCTCGTCCAGGCCAAAGGGCCTCAGGAAAGCATTTTCTAAGCCTTAAAGCCCTCTCTAGATGTTAACAATAATGCTCTTGCTTGTCCCAGAAGGACCTGACAGGCTCTGCGCCCTGCCCTGATGAAGCCTCAAAGGATTTCAGTGGGGCTGACAGGACTTAGAACACAGGTCCCAAAAGGGCCTGTGTCTGAAACTCATCGCCAAAACAGCTGTCCACCAAGTGATGAACTTTTTTTTTTGTGGTTACACTAACTCATCAAGACTAATGTATAGAGAGAATAGCTGAACCAATCTCAGGGCCCTGAACTATTTTAAAAGTTATTATCCTAATTGGAGGGCACACAAAAAGAATCTATATCTAGGAAGGTTTCCATGTCCCTTCCAGAGTTACATCTACCACTGGTAATGAAGTTTCTAACAAAGTATGCCACTGAGGGGGAAGCTGGGTGGTGCAGTGGATAGAGCATTGGCCCTAGAGTCAGGAGGACCTGAGTCCAAGTCTGGCCTTGACACTTACTAGCTGTGTGACCCTTAGCAAGTCACTTAAACCCCAATTGCCTCACCAAAAAAAAAAGTATGTCACTGAAACATGCTCTGTGATGAAGATTATAAAACTTGAGTGTTTCTGAGTGGTTCCCTGGTATTGTTTGTATTTGTGTACATAGCTTCGTGCAGATGGACATATAGATGGAATTGAGACAAGGGCTATGGATGAACAGATGGCTGTCTGGACCCTAGAAGATGGCATAAAATGATCCCAGATGGGTCACAGGTTGAAAAGAGTTGGGAAACACTAGCTTTAGACAACAATCTTAAACGGATCACTGAAGTCAGCTTCCTTGAGCTTCTCCCTTGTCCGTCTGACAATGGGCACCACAGGGACTGGTTTTGCACATGGTTATACCAGGGAGAGGCTGAAGTTCCAGTGCTGGAGGAGATACACAAATGAGAAAGAAACTAAGGTGAAGTTACTTACCTAAAGCCACACAAACGGTAAAGTGCAATGATGCCATTTGAACCTAGATCTCTTAATTTCAAATCTACTTTCTATTACACCAAGTTGTCCAAGTAGAAATGGAACAGTGCACCCCACCAAAGAGAACTACTAAGTCTCTCTGACATACAGGGAGAGGACCATATACCTTTTAGCCTGCTGGTGGCCCTTTGTTGCTAGACACCAATCCCTCATTTCACAGACCTGCAAATGAGCTTGGGATCTCAGAGCCCACAACCAACAGAGAGGCAGAGAAGATAGAATAGCTATTGTGGCCACCTCAGAACACTCCCCCCCCCTCACCCCGACAGTTGTAAATCACATGCTGACCAAATGAAAATCTAATTTTATTAGTTAAAATGAGAGTGTGGCATTAAGTGAAAAAGAGGTGAAAGTCAGAGGGTGAAGAAGTTGCTGAAAACTCCTCTAGATGGACTAAGATGTCCTACATGAAGCTGGGAACATAGCTCCCAGGATGGAGAACAACGATGATTGGGAGAAAGACAAGGGATCTTGGACATGACCAGCCAGGGTAGAGTCCTGTCCTGCGCCAGGGCTAAAAGGGAAGCATTTCTTCCTCAGGGATATTGAGGATAACATCCATGTCTGGAGTACACCTGGTGGAAGGCCGAGGGAGGAAGGAGAGAGACTAAGCACATTATAGTGAGGGGAACATGCAAGTTCAGTGGTTATCTCTAGGACAAAGCTCCCACAGACAGAGGCCTGAGGAGGATGGTAGGTGGGGCCACTTGTGTAAGGGGCCTTCTCCTTCAAAGGAGGCTGGTAGCAGGGATATAGTGGGGGACAGCTAGGTGGCTCAGTGGATAGAGTACCGGCCCTGGATTCAGGAGGAGCTGAGTTCAAATCTGACCTCAGACACAGAACACTCACTAACTGTGTGACTCTGGGCAAGTCACTTAACCCCAATATCCTCACCCTCCAAAAAAAACAAACAAAAACCAAACAAGGATATAGTGGGACAACAGAGAAGCCTCATCCCCAAAGGCTACATCCACACTTAAGAGTTATCTAAAAAAACAAAAACCCAAACCCAAACCCCCACACCAAATTACTCCACAAACAGAGCAACGGCTTTAAAAAAATCTAAAGCTACAATCTTTGGGGAAGTGGCTTGTTAGGTTTGCTGTCCTAGGACAGGGACAATATTTAGGTATGATGCCCGTGGGAGAACTAGAACACTATCAGGTTCCTGAGTCCCCATGGAACGGCCTCCAGATCTCCAATCCAATACTGCCCTTTTCCTGTCCTTAGGCCTTTTACTGTGTTCTCTCTCAGGCTTGGTATGACCTCCTTCTCTCCCCCACTCCACCTACTGAAACCTTTTTCACTCTCCAAGTCCCAACAAATGGGATGGATAAAGTGTAACATTTGAAAAGAGCAAAGGGATGTTGCTGCTTCTAAAAACAACTAATCCACTCACTCTCCTCTTTGGGCTTATCACTTTCTTCTTCCTCGAGATCACTCAACCAGTTAGTGGAAGACCTAAGAATAAATCCCAAGAGTCTTGATTTCCTTTCTAGTGGTCCTGCCCCTCTGCCCCACTACCTCCTCAGCATAGCGAAGGGATCCCCACGACTGGGTCAGGGCCCCAGAGCAAGTGTATCCTAGGCAACCTATTGTACAGCACATACTTGGGTTTCCGAAGCAGGACATTGGCAAAGACCACTTCCCTTGAGTCCTTTCTCTGCATCTGGAGATCCTGTACCTGGCCCTTTAGCCTGGGAAGCTCCTTCTTCATACGGTCAATGTGCTGAAGAGGCAGAGAAATGGGAGGAAAGGAGTAGAAAGTTGATTGTCTCCTTTCCAAAGAGATTCAGGTCCCCCAGAGAAAGGAAGTTTGAAAAAAAAAAGTAGAGGGGTAGCTAGGTGGCACAATGGATAGAGCTCTGGCCTTGGAGTCAGGAGAACCTGAGTTCAAATCCAGCCTCAGACCCATAACACTTACTAGCTGTGTGACCTTGGGCAAGTCACTTAACCCCATTGTCTAGCCAAAAAAAAAAAAGGTAGAAAGAAAGAAATTTTTGAAAATGGGTTGTCACTATTAGTCTGTATTCCTGACAGTATGAGCTCCCTCAGGGCAAGAAAGTAGAAGAATTCCCAGGTGGTCATGGACAGAGATGGTCAAGACAGGTGACTGGGGAGGGGAGGTGCTGGGGAACGGTAGCTGATGATGGATGGTAAGCTTTAATGAAGAGTCTCCCCATATACTCCTCACACAAGTATTTCTTATAATTTTCTGGGGGTTAGAGTGATGAAGAATGCCCCAAGCTAGTCAGTTGTTCACATCATCAGAGGTCCAGGGCAGGATTGTTTCCTGAAGTCGTAAGTATTGCCCCAAATCCTTCAAATATCCTAATAAAAAGAGGACAGTCAAGAGAATGCTTCCATTTCTATGATATTTCCAGTAGAACTTCTAGACTTATTCGCTCTATAGCCCTCAGCTTGAGCAATTCAGAGCCGGGTCAATGGTGTCTGACTCTGCCCCCGTTAATCCCTGTTTTCTCTGGGGTCTCACTCACCACTCTGAACTGGACTATCTGCTTCAATAGTTGCTGGTTACTTAGCGTCTTCCTCATAAGAGCAGCTTGATAGGGAAGGATGGTTCTCTGTGGAGGTGGGAGAGATTAGCCAGATGCAAAAGCAGGTGGCAACTAAAGGCCCCTCCTACATACAGCAGGCACCTCTCTAATGCAAAGAGGTGGGGAGAGAAAAAGAGGCCTTAGTACCTCCCAATCACACTCCCACCAATAGGTGGGGTCTTCAGAAGGTCCACAGGACCTACTGCTCACCTTGGCCATGACATATAAGATCTTCTCTGTCTTCACCATCAGTTTCTTTGACAATGTCTGAAGCACATCCTTGCGTATCTCCTGCAACTCCTCTAGCTCATCCTGGTGGCCAAGAGAAAGAAGTCACCTTCTGGCCTTGCGGCCTCCCTTGAGGAGGCACCTAGAACAGAAGGGCAGGAGAACCCTTACCTCATTCCTATTTTTCATATCCTGGATCTGACTCATGAGGTCAGCAATCTGCACAGACTTAACTGGGTACTCCTGGTCCATGTAGGTGGTCAGGAAATTCAGCTCATCTTGGGCCTTACGAATATTCACTTTCACCTTTGTCAGCTGCTGCTGCAGTTCTAGTGAAGGTTGAGGGAAGGAGGGAGAGAAGAAAAAGGGAAGCTCCCTGCACCAAAGGTCACACCCCTCAGCCATAAGCCACTTCCCTAAAGCTATTATACGATTTATCCAAGATCTCACAGTAAATTGGTGGCCGAATAGACTAGAATCAAATTTCTCATTTAGGGATTTTCCCTTTATATCATGCTGACTCCACTGCAGAGATCGATAGGCTCTGTGGTCCAGGGCCTCACCAGACCTTCTCCCCAGGGAAAGGTGGTCTACAGGAGACTTGACATAACTTATAGACCAACTCCACTCTTCTGCAGCAAAACAGTCCTATTGATTATTTCAACAGACATTTATTAATCTCTTACTGTGTACCAGGCATTATGCTAGGCACTAGGGATGCAAAAACAAAAATGAAATAGCTGTTGCCCTCAAGGAGCTTACATTCTAATAGAATATAACTTTTATTTCCTTGCTTCCCCTGCAGTGGGAAGTTGGGTTATGGTAGAGAGGGGACCTTCCACACAGGTGATCTTCCTCTTTCTCCCTCCCCTCTTCCCTTACCATAGTCACGTCTGAATTGACCTAAGCAAAAAAATCCTGTCTACTCTGTTGAGGGTATCCTTCTGAAACTTCTAGTCATGAGAAGGCTGGGGTCACCTAAATCAACTTGTCTATCTTTCCTATTGCTTCTCCTTCTAGGGAGGTAGAGGCAATACTGCACTCAGTTAACATAAATCTATCAAGCATCTATCACACATAAAGTTATGTGCCCATGTAATACCATACTCTGCTCTTACTAGGAGAAAGAGTTGTCCATTTTATTTACCATATGGTTCAAATAGGTTTGGATTCATTTCTTTTTAACTACAAAACATGGACTGTACTAAGCAACTCTCCTGGGGAGGGGGACATACCAACAACTTAAGCAATAGGAGACAGGTTTACTTGAACACAGAGAGACAGGGAGATGAAACACAAAGGCCAAGGAAAAGGATGCCACTGTTTCATGGCTCCAGTGTCTGCTGGTTAATGCAGTCCCACTGATGAGCTGAGCACCTACTCTTTGAAATTTGGCAAAAGGGTCCCCAGAGAGCACTGAGTAGAAATAAGAATAACATTTATCTAGAGAGTAGAGACAGCATGGGGGCCTGGAGCTAGAGAAGGGGAGAGCGAATAAGACCAGTGATCTCAGAGGCCACACAGCTTCCATGGAGAAAGAAAAAACCTGTCTCTTCTGCAGGCCAAGCTGGTGTGCTGGGTACATCTCAGACAGCACATGCAGGGAAGCAAGGAACCAGAAGAAAGTCATGTCAACAAGTCAGGTTCTGGGGCATGTTGGTGAAAGAAAGAAAAGGGCTCACACTTGGGATACCAGAAAAATGGAAATCACAGACTTTGCTTTCAGTAATTCTGTTTAACTATAGAAGATAAAACATATAAGATAATATGAGGCAATATAAATGAAATTAGACTAGCAATCAGGAGACCTGCATAAGTCCCAGCTCTGCCATCAACAGGCTGTGTGACCTTGGACAAATCACTTCCCTCTTAGCCCCTCGGTTTCCTCATGTATAGTGTTAGAGAGTTAGACAAACATCCCTTCTAGCTGACATTGGGTTCTAAGTTCTAAGGGCCTTTCTGGCTCCAAAATTCTATGTTCTCTTATTCATTCTAGGTTTGCAGGACTTAGCACATTGCTTTGCACACAGTAGGCATGTAATATCTTGTTGCCTCACTGAATTCTATGCTCTAAGGTTCTTTCTGGTTCTGACAGCCTAGGTTCAAACACCCCTTCTAGCCTAAAACCACATGAGTCTGTGACCACAGGAGATAACCCAGAGCCACAAGGCCAAGAGTATGCCGCTGCCACAGGGACACTCACCATTCACTTTGACCTCTGCCTGCGCTGTCCACTTCTCTAGCTTGCTCTTCATGTCTTGCATTTGCTTATGGTTTGCATCCTCCAGAGTGCCAATGAGAGTCTGTGTGCACAGATACAGAGGCAGGTGTGGGTGAGGAGGCTCTGGGCAGTGGATTGCATGGGCACCCCCCCCACACACACACAGTTATCACTACGCCTCTGCCAACACTTTTTCCCTGTGAGCCTCCTCACCATGAGTCATCTAGATCACAACATACTCTCAGGTCAGCACTCCTGAATGCAGCAAAATTTAGTCAATTTATTGTAGGCAGTAGCAAAAACATGGATGTAGATAATTTACAGGTAAGGCAATCCCTGGACAGGTCCAAGAAGAGGCTGGAAGGCCACTTGGGAAGTGTCTTCAGTGTTGCCCAAGTGAGAAGCTACAATGATTCTATGAATGCTCCAGGACCTGACTGCATCCAGATATGGAAATAGGTATAGCTTTACCTCACATCACCAATTGATTCCACAAAAACTTGATGTTAGTGTAGGGGGAAAAAAAAACTGAAGCAAGATTCTCTGATAAAAGCCTCATTTCTCATATATGTAGAGAACGAAGTCAAATTTATAAAAATAAGAGCCATTCTCCAACTGATAAATGATCAAAAGATACAAACAGTTTTCATAAGATGTAATCAAAGGTATTTATAACCACATGAAAAAAAATGGCTTAACTCACTGTTGATTGGAGAAATGCAAATTAAAACAATTCTGAAGCACTACCTCATACTTAATTAGACTGGCTAGTAGGACAAAAAAGGAAAATGACAAATAGTAGAGGGGATATGGGGAAAATGAGACATTAATGCACTGCTGGTGCAGTTGTGAATTGATTCAACCTCCTGTAGAACAATTCAGAACTATGCCCACAGGTCTATAAAACCATGCCTGCCCTTTGATCCAGCAATACCACTACTAGGTCTGTATCCCAAAAGAGACAAAAAACAAAAAGGAAAAGGATCTATTTGTACAAAAATATTTATAGCAGCTCTTTTCTGGTGGCAAAGAACTGGAAATTGAGGGGATGCCCATCAATTGGCTGAACAAGTTGTGGTTATGATTATGACGGAATACTACTGTACTATATGAAATGCTGAGCAGGAAGCTCTCAGAAAAACCTGGAAAGATTTACATGAGCTGATGCAAAGTAAAATGTATTATGTACAAAGTAATAGCAGTATTGTAAGATGAGCAGCTGTGAATGACTTAGCTATTCTCAGTAATACAATGATCTACGACAACTCTGAAGGACCTATGATGAAAAATGCTCTCCATCCCCAGAGAAAGAACTGCAATGGTGTTTGAATCCAAATTGAAGCATACTTTTTTTCCCTTTATTTTTCTTGAGTTTTTTTTTTATTTTTGTCTATGTTTTCTTTCACAACATGACTATTATGGAAATGTTTTGCATAACTACATATGTATAACCTATATTGAATTGCTTACCTTCTCAATGGGGAAGGAGAGAAAAAAGGAGAGAATCTGGGACTCAAAGTTTTAAAGATGAATGTTAAAAAACTGTTTTTATATTTAACTAGGGAAAAATAAAGTACTAAATAAGTTTTCTAAAATAAAAAAAAAACATGCTGTTAGGAGAAATGTTACCCAGGCCTATAAGAGTGGAGGGGAAAGGTATGTCCTTTGCAGAAGACTTGGGTTTCAGTTCTGATGGTATGTCAGTTTATTACAGGTTACCTGTGTGGCTATGGGCAAGTCATTTCATCACTCAGTGTTTCAGTTTCCTCCTCTGAAAACCATAGCTCCTATTGGCACTGCCCAACTCAAAGGGATGTTGTGAGAAAAGTACTTATGCAAATATGAACTTTTATTATAATTATTATTGCTGTTATTCATTTCATAGGAACAGCATTGTAAGTGGAACAGTAAGCAGACTAATACTCAAAGAGTTCCTATTGCTGGGGCTGAGTATTTTAGTAGGGGAGGCTTGGTTACAATGGACCCAACATATGACCTAACCCTGAAAGGCTGTTAGTGGTAGAAATGCTACACAGGGTTTGCTTTGTCCAGCCCAGAGGATCATAGGATTAGCTCTTCCTGGTGCCCTCGATTTCAACAACTCAATCCAATCTGTCCAATCTAACTCTTGCCCTGTCCTGCTCTGGGGTCCTTACTCCTAGTTCCCTAATAAATCCATCTTTCCCCTTTTTTCTCTAAGTTAAGCTTACTCCTGAAGCTTGCCAGGAAGTCTGAACTCATCAGAGGACAAACCACTTCTGACTGAAATGCTCGGCTTTTTCTGACTTTTTCTCTCTCTTTAGCTCAAATGCCTCTCTCCTCTTCGACCTTGTATTTCTCTAACCCCTGGGTCACCTAAATTTCTCCCAGAGGAGACAAAGAGGCCTTCTGACTTATCCACAAAGGGTTACCTATTACAGTCACTAAACATAGAAACACAAATAGATATAACAGTGGGGATGGAAAATTTATTTGTCAGTCAGTCAACATTTATTAAGTACCTACTCTGTGCCAGGCACCGTGCTAAATGTTGAGTGCTAGGGATACAAAGAAAGGAAAAAGACAGTGCCTGCCCTCAATAAGCTCTCAGTCTAAAGCTTACAAAGGCCCCTGTGGGCCTGGGAACGGGTGGCTCCTCGTCTATGCCAAGCCTAACTCAGGCCCTCAAGCTCTCGGGAGGAGTGAAGGTTGATGGGCTGTATTAACGTGAGTTAGTGAAGCTTGCTCAGCTCAGAGGGTACCAGCACAGGAACCCTGGAAGAACAACAGGACTAAGGTCAAGGGGAATGAGCTCTTTCTCTCCTTCCAATCCCAGTTCTGTCACTTGCTCCCTAGGTGACTCCGAGCAACTCAGTAATAGAGGCCTCAGTTTCTTCACTAGACAATGGGTAAAACGATCCCTGTCCTACCTACCACAGGGCACCTAGGTGGTGCAATGGATAGAGTACCGGGCCTGGAATCAGCAAGACTCATCTTCTGTGAATTCAAATCTGACCTCAGACACTTACTAGTTGTGTAACCCTGAGTGAGTCACTTAACCCTGTTTGCCTCAGTTTCCTCATCTGTAAGATGAGCTGGAGAAACAAACAGCAAAACATTCTAGTATCCACGCCCAGAAAACCCCAAATGGGGTCACGAAGAGCTGGACACAACTCAACAACAAGAATAACCACCTATCTACCACCTAGGGCTGTTTTCAGGATCAAATGATACAATAGATGTAAAAGTCAGTAAGCAGTACATAAAGTGCTCGCGTAGAATAATTAATAATGACATTTATATAACACTTTTAAGATTTGCAAAGTGTATTACAAATAAGTCATTTGATCCTCACAGCTCTTCCATCCAGGAACCTCTCTCTGGTGCCAGGCTGAACTGCCCAAGTGCCCAACAGCTTCCCCGCCTCCAGCCTGGCACCCAGGGGGTGGCTGCCTTTCTCCCACTGCAGTCTGACTCTATCCCAGGACCATCTCTCCGGCACTCAACACCTCTAGGCACAACATCTCTTCTACCTCCTGTCCCCAGTGCTTACTTTAAGGCAAGTAAAGCACCACAGTCTCCTAACCAGGCTCCCACTAGCTCCACCTGCTCTTGCCTCCTCTGGGGAAGGGCTGGGGCTTCACAGGACAAAGGATCACCATCTGCTGCTGAGCCGAAACTCAAGAGAGGACCCATAGAGTCTAATTTCATGCTTCCCTCATGGACCTTCTCTCCAGTCACTGTTACTGTGCCTGCACTCATTCCTCAATTGCTACCATGCCCTTGTACTTGCCTCATTCCAGGGATCCTGAAGCCCCATCCCACATTCTCAGCTCGGTGCTGATCCCTCACAACTGGCCACCTTGACTCCATCCCCACCAAGGTCTTGCTCTCTAGATGTGGTCCCCTCTTCCACAGTGCCATCTGGAATTTCTGATCCGTGTTAATCAAGTTTTCTTTCATCATAAACCTCCTCCTTTCTCACCCTTCCATCTTGTGGCCCTCAGTGAGACCTGACTACTTCATGACGACACTGCTTCCCCTGCCATCCTTTCCAGTACTGATTACTCTTTCTCAGACTCACAGGTTGTAGTTGGAGGGTTGGGACATGCTGTTGTCCCCCATTGCCACCGCCAGACTCTGCCTTTACCACCTTCACTCAACACCCTCTCCTCCCCTGAGGTTGTGCTATACAAATTTATCACCCAATACAGATCCTGGTGGCTGCTATCTACTAGCCCCCAAAACATTCTCCTCCCTTCCTCAATGGCTTCAGTACCCAGTCTCTCTCAGTTCTCATAATAAGGTATTTACATATTGATGCCATTTTAAATGACCTAATTTCCAAGTTTCTCGGTCTCCTCCATTTCCATAACCTACTCCTCCACCCCACCACAGTTCTATATGAAGATGGTCATATTCTTGATCTTGCTATCATCACCTTCCAGGATTTTACTTCCTGGTCCACAAGCTATAACATTCTTCCACCTGATCATAATCTCTTCTCATTCCATCTTTCACTGTCTTACAACCTTTAATTCTGTTCTTCAACTTCAACTTGATGGCCATTGTCTCTGTCCCTCCAGTCCTTTCCTACACCATCATCCTTGCACTGGCTATACTCTCCTCTCTTTCCTATCTCGACTCCCTTGGTGAACCAACTCAACTCTCCACTAGCCTCTACTCTTAAATCCCTCACTCCCTTGACTTACTTCCAACCCTAGATTACTCCCAACATTCACCTCCTTCACTATTATTCAGGTGTTGCTGAATATGAGCTGGAGAAAATCAAGAACTTGCCCTGATTAGAGTCTCACAATAAGTTTATGTCATCTGACCTCAACTAGGCCCTTGCTGCAGTTAGGCAAACATTCTCCTCCTCTCTAATCAATTTGCCATCCTCCTCCCCACAGTGGCTGTACCATGCCTTCTTATCCTTCCTCAACCCTCCCAGACGACCCCCTTCCCTGAGCTTTTCAGCTGAGAACCTTGCCTCATACTGCACCAAAAAAAATGGAGAACCTTTGTCAAGAGCTTTTCCCCTCCTCCTCATATACCTTCTACATTCGGCTTTCAAACCCATCATTAAACTGAAACTGCCTTTTCCAAAGTTACCAGTGACCTCTCAATGGCCAAACATAATGGCCATTTATCAATCCTCATTCTTCTTAGCCTCTCTGAAGCATGTAGCACTAGTGATCACTTCCCCTTTTTTATGATTCTTTCCTGACTCTCCTCACTGCTCTCTCCTGGCTTTCCTCTCACCTGCCCCACTTCTCTGTGTCCTCTGTAGGTTCTGCACCCATACTTACTAACCATGGTTATCTCTCAAGGCTGTGACCTGGGCCTTCTTCTTGCCTATAGAATATCTGTCTTGGTGATCTCATCAGGTGCCATGATAAATTATCATCTCTATGCAGATGATTCCCAGGTCTATAGGTCCAGCCCCGACCTCTCACCTGAGCTCTAGTGTCACATCACCAACTGCCTTTTGGAGAGGCAACTGGTGGCATAGTGGATAGAACACTGGGCTTCAGACATTTAACCTCCATCTGCCTCAGTTCCTTCAACTGTAAAATGGGGATAATAATAGCAGTGACCTTGCAGGGTTGTTGTGAGGATTAAATGAGATAATATTTATAACAAATGCTTGGTATAGTAGGTGCTATATAAATGCTTATTCCTTTCTCCTTCCCCCTTCTGGATATCTTGAATTGGATGTTTCATAGGCATTTTAAACTCAACACGTCCAAAACAAAACTCATTTTTTCCTCCAAACTTCCCTGCTCTCTATGACTATTGATGGTACCACTATTTTCCCAATCACCTAGTCTCACAACCTCAGTGTCATCCTCAGCTCCTCACTCACATTCACCTCAATGTCCAACCCATTGCCAGATGTTATAGTTTCCATCTTCACAATGTCTCTCATGTATATTCCCTTGTCTCTACTCACAACCACAACCCTGGTTCAGGCCCTTATCGCCTCTCGCTTGAACTACTGCACTAGCCTTCTAACTGGACTCTCAGCCTCTAATCTCTCCCTACTCTAATCCATCCTCCATTCAGCTGCCAAGGGTTTTTTTTTCTAAAGCATAGACCTGTCACCCTCCCCTCCCCCTTGTTCATGAGTTCCAGTGGCTCCCTATTATCAAAATCAAACATCATCTCCTTTGACTGGCATTTAAAGCTCTTCCTAACTTATCCCCTTCCTATCTTTCCAGCCTTTTTATAACACCTTACTTCCCTCTATGATTCAGCATCCCTGGTCTCCTTCCAGTTCCTTGAACACAACACTTCATCCCCTTTCCCTGTACCCACACATTCATTGGCTGTGCCCCTCTGCCTGGAATGCTCTGCCCCCTTCACCATGATCACTAGTGTTATGACTTCTTTAAGACTCAGGTCAAATTCCTCCCATTCCAGAAAGGCCATTCCCAATCCTCCTAGTTCCTAATGGCTTTCCCTCTCAAGTTACCTCCCATCTACTCTATATCTTGTATCAATATAGTTGTATACATGTTGTCTCCATTAGAATGTAAATTCCTGAGTAAGGATTAAGTGGTTACATAGTAATCACTTAACAAACCTGCCTAGTGACTTGAGGTAAACCAAGACACAGGTTTTACCCCCATTTTACCCATGAAGAAACTGAGGCTCATAAAGGTTGTAACTTGCCTGTTTTCACAGAGATAGTGAGGGTCAGAGACAGGATTCAAACCCAGATTTCTCCTGGCCCCAGTCTAGCACCCATTGCTTCATCTGTAAAAGAAGCAATATAGCAAAAATCTTCAAAGTGAGATCATGATGATTATATTATTTTACCCTTAGAATAACCCTAAAGTAGGAAGAAGAGTCCCTATTTTGCAGATGGGAAAAGGTCCAGAAATATGACAGGTCACACCGCAAAGGGTAGATGGGGGAGAGGGGTAGGCACCTTGGAAAGTAGTTCCAAAGGGTTAGAAGTTTCTCAGTGTCACTCATTCTCACCCCAAATGTGTCTTGCTGCTGCAGAAGCTTCCGCACTTTCTCTGCAGTGACAGCTTCTATGTCCTGGATCTTTTTTGCCAGCTGCTGGTTGCTGATAGTGAGAAAGGTGACATGCTTTTTAAGTTCGTCTAGTGAGGCTGTCCTGAACTTAAGTATTGCCTGTGGGAGTCAGAAAGGAGAGGAAAAAAAGTGATTTGATACCTAGACGGTCTCAGTGGAGTTCCTAGGTTTGCTAATTGTCTTTTAGACAAGTGGTTCTTGAGCTGGAATTCATGAAGTATTTTGGGGGGTTTTTTTAATATTTTGATCACAATATTTTGATAAAACTGGTTTCCTTTTTCATCCTATGTATTTTATTTTAGGCATTTAAAAATATTTTGATAAGGGGTCAGGAGTCTGTGATACCAAAAAGGTTAAAAACCTCTACTAAAAACCATCCCTTGGGTCTGGTTTTTTGTCCAGAGGGTAACAGGGAGTCATTGTTACCTGGTGGTTATCCTGCCCCCTTGTGGTCTTGAATGGAGATTATATTGTTATAGAGAAAAAGAGAGATCTCTCCAAGCTATGCAACAGAACAGCCAAGAACATACCTCCCCACACTGGTCAGCAAAGTCCCATTGGACAGCAGGCTACTGAGTTAGGCTGAAATTTCCCATCTGCTTCTCACCTCCTTCTTTTCTATGACAGATTTGTCTCTTGACTCCTCAGCCCTGCCTAGCTCTTGGATGAAGGATGATCCCTGGAACTTTTTTTTTCTTAAGCCTTAAAGCCAAACCACCAGCTCTCACTGACTGGCCAACAACAGGTCCCAGGCCACGTGGTCATTGTTTGGACCCTGATTGGCTCAGAGTGAGTGTAAATAGCAATTGTTTCTGTTTTGGCCAAAAACCCTGAGAGTCTTTCCTTCCCAGATTGATTTTTTTTTTTTGACTAGGTAAAGAGGCCATTCTCTGCCTCATTTCTTACCTACTCTTAATCACTGAATGGGCTTTGCCTCAGTCATAGTGAGACCTGTTAAAGATCTTAGCTTAAAAAGGGCAAGGTCTCCCACTGCATTTAGAGCCACCAGCCATCCTGATTTATATCTTGCCACTGGACCCAGATGGCTCCAGAGGAGAAAGTGAGGCTGATGACTTTGCATAGCCCTTCCTCACTTAAATCCAATTCACTTGCATTTCATAGTATCACCTCCTTGATGTCATGGTCCTCTTCAAGAATGAAGGACAAACAACTCATAACTATCCCTTCCTTATCTCCAATGTCTTTGCCTGTAATTATGCCCAATCTATTTTCCCTAACGTGTTTCCCAGGCAGAATCTAGAAACTCAGGCCTCTGCTGCTCTTCCAAGTCTCCCCCATCCTGAATAAGATCCCTCCCCCAAGCCTTCTATGACCCCACTCCCCTCAACAAATCTGCAGCAGTACTCCCTCTTGTCCAGTAACCAGCTGTACATCTCATGGTGCTAAAATAGTTTCCCTCACCCTCTCCTGTCCACAAACCCACTCACTCTTAGTATTCGGATGTCGGCTTGGATTTTCTCCAGATCCATTTCATTCCCAATTATCTTTTGCTGCTGGTTCTTCACCACATTAGAGACAGATACCTCCTTTGTTGTGAATTTTGTCCTGGTAAACTCTGAGAGAAAAGAAAATGAGCAAAAAAAAAAATCTTGGGGCAGCGAGGTGGCGCAATGGATAGAGCATCGGCCCTGAAGTCAGGGGGACCTGAGTTCAAATCCAGCCTCAGACCAAACACTTGACACTTACTAGCTGTGTGACCCTGGGCAAGTCACTTAACCCCAAATGCCTAAAAGAAAAATCTTCATGCTTTGGTAACTTAAGACAAAAGATAAATCACTAGTTGGGCTCCTGGCTGGCCACTCATATCCTTCCTTTTGTGTTTAGGTAGACAGGAGATATTTCCGTTCCTAATTTACCTGTAAAGTATTCTATAGGATAAGAGCAGAAAATTCAACATCATAGCTAACATTTAGATAGGATTTTAAGGTCTGCAAAGTGCCTTTTGTGTTAACTCATTTGATCTTCACAACAACACTATGTTGTTGAATGTTCAACCATTTTTCAGTCGTGTCTAACCCTTTGTGACCTCATTTAAGGTTTTCTTGGTGAAGATATTTGAGTGGTTTACCATTTCCTTCTCCAGCTCATTGTACAGATTGAAGAAACTGAGGCAAACACAGTAAGTGTCTAAGGCTAGATTTGAACTCATAAAGATGAGTTTTCCTGACTCCAGGCCCAGCACTCTCTCCACTGCCACCTAGCTTCCCCAACAACTTTATAAGGTGGGTGCTATTATTATCCTCATTTTGCAGATGAGGAAACTAAGTTCCTTCCCCAGGGTACAATTGTCTGAGGTAGGATTTAAAGTTAAGTATTCCTGCTTTCATCCACTGTACCTCCAGGCCACCTCACAGAACACGGACAAGTCCTAAAGTACAAGTTTAATAAACTGTATGCACCATTGTGGGTAGCATGCTACAGCAGAACATGAGTTTTCGCATATTGTGAAAGTGAGCATAGATAACACCTAACACATAGCCAGCTCCGCAGTGCTCAAGCTGCCCTGGTGAAGGAGTTTATGCATCCCTTCTATATTAGCTTGCCCTGCTCATCCCCCTCCCCACCAATTTCACCATGTCATGATGTATATCCAGTAGTCTAGTCTCTCTAGCATTCTGAAGCCACTCAAAGGATGGGGCTCTGGTTACCCTATCTCTTCAAAGGCCATGGAAAAAGAGTCCTCTTCCCATTCCCAACTCAGTAGGGAAGGAAAAAGGCTTTTAGGGTCGCTCACAGGCACCTATGAGTGAGGGAAATGTTTTGTATATTAAATTTTTTGACGTTCTTCCATCCTAACAAGTTCAAGTACTTCTGCCCACCTGATCTAGGACTGGCCTTCCTCCCTGACATCTGCTTTCCTGAGGCAACTTTAATCTGAGGTAGGTTCAACCTGGGATTCTTCTTTGACTGCTGCCACTGGTTATAATCCTAATTTCCAGGTGGGAAAGAAGGCAATAAAGAAACATGTCAAGCTAACGTGGAAATATGTTTTATACGATTGTACATGTATAACTGATATCATATTGGGGAAAGGTGAGAGGACAGAGGGAGAAGAATTTGAAATTCAAAATCTTTCAGAAAATGAGTGTTGAAAATTTTCTTTACATGTAATTGGAAAAAGTAAAATACTATTAAAAAAAAAGAATCTCAAAAAAGGTGTCAAGCATCTCCTCAAGAATTAAGCCCATGCCCAGCTAGGGTGAATAGGTGAATACAAAAAACCAGAGGACTTAATCCATTCCCTCTTCAAATCCAGACTAGCTAGAGAGAAAAGAATGCCATAGGGAATATACAGCATACAGTCTGAACTGAAACCCATCTAGCCAATCCCCCTCTTTTTACAAAGATACCCATCTGCTTGAAGTTGAGACTTCAAGGTCTACAGCTAGGAAGGCAGAGCCAAAACTTGAACTCCAGCCTTCTGGCTCCAGACCCAGTGCTCTTCCCATTCCACCCAATCCCACTCATGAAACAGAGTCATCAGCTTGGTCTGGACTGTATGTCAGGGCTCAGAGGAAGTTCAGGGAACGCTTCTGGGAAGAGGTAATCTAGGTGAATCTAGCAGAACCTGCAATGGTTAACAAGGTGGGTGTAGACTTTAAGTGAGTAAGGGAGGAAAGCATTTTAGGTTGGGATGGTGAATGGGGTCGGGTATCACTCTTTGTGTCAGAATTTGGGGCAATACAACCTCCCTGGTCATTACCACTGACCACTCCACAGCTGCCAGATCCCAAACTCACCATGGGACAGTATTTGGGGATTCTAGTGATGAAGTGAGCTTCCTTTCTGAAAAGAGCAAAGAAACCCATATGAGACAATTAGCTGCCATATGCAGCAGACAAGTCTCAAAAAATAACTGCTCCTTCCCAGCAAAGACCGGCGTTTCAGGCTCAAGGAGTGGACCCAGGATTCGAACCGTTAGGAGAGGAAGACTGAAGAGACTGAGCGCCACCGTGTGGCTGAGGGGACAGAAGGGGCTGGGAGAGAATGGGCGAGGCCGTGCGAACGCGCCTTTCTCCTCTCCCCATCCTTCTGCAAAGTGCTTGCGAACAAGGGGGTGGGGGCTGGGCTGGGGGTGGGGCAGAGGCTCAGCCCGGAGCATGCGCTCTACCCCTGGGTGGAACCCTGGCTGTCAAAGTGTACCTAGCGGTGCTCAGTGCTTTGGAAGCAGAGGTAGGAGAGACTGGCGGAAGCCCTGCGCAAGCGCACTCGCCCACAAGCGCCCCTCCCTCTCCCCAGGTTAGAATGAAGAGGGGTACGGGAGGGAGGGGGGCGGCAGAGGCGGCCTCGTGTCCGCGGGGGTTGAGGTGGCGGCAGCTCGGGAAGCCTAAGCAAGTGGAGGAGACCATTTGCTCACTTTTCTTGTGGCTGCATGGCGCACGCCCTTCTCTCAAAGCGTTGCCTACGTTAGCTGGCGTTTCCAAGGAGACAGGACCGGGGCTAAGGGCCGCGGGAAGGGACTTGCTGCGCCAAAGGCGCAACTGCCCAAAGCTGTGCCCGAGGTGGGAGAGGTTTCACGCTGTCCAGGTTCCAAACATTCCCGGAGTTCTGCCTCCTCCCCACCCTATCCCTACCCCAGAGCTGTAGCTGGGAGTTTTTGCGTCTAGAAAAGAAAGGGAAAAGAAAAAGGACAGATCATAGGACGCATCATCTGGTAGCTTCCAAGCATTTATCAAGAACCTGCTTGGTGAAAGGCCATGTCCTCAATGGGGGTTGGAAAGGACAATGAAAAACATTCCCGTTGTCAAGGAGAATACAACGTGTAAAAGGGGAGGGGGAGTCAGGAACGGTGACAGGTTAAATGAAGCCTTGAAGGAAGCCAGAGGATGGTAAGAAGTGTAATCCCGTGCAAAGAAGTGGAGGTGGGAGATGGGATACCAAGTTGGGGAAACAGCAAATAAACCAGTTAGGTTAGACTGTAGAGTGGAAGAAGGGGAATAATGTGAAATGAGCCTGGAAAGGCGGACAGATTGTGGAGAGCTTATAAAGTAAAACAGGGTGAAATGAGCAGAACCAGGAGAACGTTCTATGCAGTAACAGCTGCATTGTTTGGGGTGAATGACTTAGCTCTTCTCCGTAATAAGATGATCCAAGACAATTCCAAAGGACCCATGATGGAAAAGATCTGATGGAGTCTGAATGCATATTGAAGCATACTGTTTTCAGGGGTTTGTGTGTGTGTGTGTGTGTGTGTGTGTGTGTGTGTGTGTGTGTGTGTTTCCTTTTGATCTGTTTCTTCTTTCACAACATGACTGATATGGAAATGTTTTACATGATTGCACATATATAACCTATATCAAATTACTTAGTTTTAGGGAGGGAGGGAGAAAAAATTGGAACTCAAATTTTTTAATTGGCCATTAAAATTGTCTTTTACAGTAATTGGAAAAAATAAAATACTATTTTTTTTTAAAAGTAAAATGGGTGGGGGGCAGCCAGGTGGCGCAGTGGATAGAGCTCTGGCCTTGGAGTCAGGAGGACATGAGTTCAAATGCAGCCTCAGACACTTGATACTTACTGGCTGTGTGATCCTGGGGAACTCATTTAACCCTATTGCCTAGCAAAAAATAAATAAAAAATAAAACAGGTAGTTTTGTTTTATTCTAGGAGCAGAAAGAAACCATTGAATATTCTTGAGCAAGGGGAAGAACAGGAAGAACATACTTTAGGAAGATTATTTTGGCAACTTTGGAGAGAGTAGGAACGGGATGAAAAGAGACCATTTAGAAGGTGTTAGTGCAAGTGGGGATAGGGCAGAAAGCTGAGGCCTCTCATATTCATTCTTCATCACAGATTTAGAGCTGAAAGGGGCCTTAGAAGTTCATCTAGTCATTTTACAGATGAGGTAACTGAGTCCCAAAGAAGTTAAGTGTCTACCCCAAAGTCACAAAGGTGGTAAAAACTAGGTTGGCTGACTCCAAATCCAGTAGTCTTTATTGCCTCTCCCAGTGTTGCTGGGGTCAAATTCAAGGGACTTGGATGAAGATAGACAACCTAAAACCTCTCCTGTGCACATATGGCCAGAAGTGCCCCCAGATGTGTAAACATAACTTACCCAATGCCACAAATAAAGTTAGTGGCACATATATATGAATTTGTCATCGTGCCTGTATAGACAACTCTCAGTGTGAACATTCAGTTCAAAAAATATTCTTACTGTGTACAATACTATGCTAGGCACTGTATTATACATTATATATTAATAGCAAATATTAAGTGCTTACTATGTACCAGGCACTGTGCTAAGCACAGTGGGGATACAAAGAAAAACAAAAGATGTCCCTGCCCTAAAGGAGCTCAGTCTAATGTACATGCAGACAACTACGTATGAACAAAACATATCCAGGACAAATTGGAGATAATCCCAGAGGGGATACACTAAGGTTAAGGAAGAAAGGCTTCTTGCAGAAGGTAGTATGTGGAACACACCCAGATGTAGAGAGGAACCCACCAGTGGCAAGGACTTGTCCTTGTGTGGCTCAAAGGGAGGCAGAAGAGACATCTCCAGCCTCTTGTTACCACCCTCCCTTCTCCAAGGGAGACTTTCATTCCTTCCAGGAGAGGAAGCAAGAGATTGAGGCTGGAAGCCAATCTGCTGTCCTTAGTAAGAGGGAGTACCAGGCTAGAAACATATTTTTTGTTTCTTTAAATATTGTTCACTTAGAGGGTATGACTGAGTTCAATCTAACTTTTGATCACTTTGTCATTTTGGTGGGAAGGGGGACCCCAAGTTCTGTAACCAAGGCTTGAACTCTTTCCCACCTAATACACAATGAACACACATAGAAAATAACAAAGAAACCCACTTGTACAAATCATAACAAGACTGAAATCAGAGAACGTACACCTACCAGACAATACAGATTGAAGGAGCTTTCCCATTGGGAATGAGGTAAACCAGCTCAATTGAGAGAGGTTTTGGATTTCACCCAAGGGGAAACTCTCCAAAGTCTCTACAGTGGCAAGTTGGGAATAGGGACATGATGGAAATTATCTGCTCCTTTCATGTCTTCCCAGAGTCTTTTCCTTCAGCAACCTGAAGTGGAGTTGGTCTCTTCCATCTTCTCTCTCAGAGTTGGAAGCTGGGTGAACCAGAATGATGAGTTCCCAAAAAGGCACTGACAAAGCCTGCAGCTCCCTCACCTCCTGACAGATCTACCCTGCACCTCATGCAGTGTAGAGAAGGGCATTCAAATCTATCAATAAAGAGAGAGTCCCATACCAGTAGGCTTTAGGACAGGGGTTTCAGTGGTATGTTAGCTGAGATTTGACAATGATGAAGAAAATAGTCCCTGCCTTCAGGGAGCTTACATTCAGCTAGAGCATATACGTAAAAATTAAATTCAAGGTCATTTGAGAAAGGAGTTTGGGAAGGTTTCAGGAAGGAGGTACCTGAGCTGAACTTTGAAAGAAGATAAAGTTTCAGAAAGGCATAGTTGGCAAATGTATTCCTGTGTTTTGAACAAGAGAGGTGATAGCCAGAACTGTACCTTAGGAAAATTATCTGGGCAGCTGTGAGAAAAATGGAATAGAGAAAGGAAAGACTGGAAGCAAGAAGACCAATAAAGCTATTACAATAGTTCAAGAATGAAGTGATAAGGGGGCAGCTAGGTGGCACAGTGGATAAAGCACCGGCCTTGAAGTCAGGAGGACCTGAGTTCAAATCTGGCCTCAGACCAAACACTTGACACTTACTAGCTGTGTGACCCTAGGCAAGTCACTTAACCCCAATTGCCTAAAAATTAAAAAAAAAAGAATGAAGTGATAAGGACTTGAAGTAGAGTGGTGGCTATCAGAAATAAGAGAATTGATTCAGGAGATGTTGAGGAAGAAAATTAATAAGACTTGGCAACTGATTGGATGTAGGGGTTGAATGAAAGTGACAAGTCAAGGATGACTGAGGTGGTAAATCTAGATGACTGGAAGGATGGCAGTTTCCTCAATGGAGATGGGAAAGTGTGTAGGGTAGGTGTGTTTAGGAGGAGAATTGGGAATTCCTGTTAAGACATGTTGAGTTGAGGTGCTACTTAGGCTATACAAGGCCAAGCAAAAATTGAGATATCTGAGGGGAGGAGGAAGGTCAGTCCTCTCCCCTCCATCATCACCATTCCAGTCCACAGGCAGGCTAAAGCCAGGACGCTTGATGATGATGCTGAGTGAGCCTGGCCCCAGGCAAGAGAAAGCAAAGGACTGGACCCTCCCAGGAGATTCAGAGGCGACCGGAACAGGGGCCTACTTGTAGACCTGATTCAGGCCACGTAGATAAATGCTCAGATGGTGGGGAGTGGGGCAGAGGGTGGGAGGGGAAGGATCAGGGAAATGAAGTGGGGCAAAAGACTGAGAACCTGTTTCCTCCACTCAATCTTCAGGGATGCCCAGAGCAGGAAAGGGCACAGAACTCTTTAATCAGGAGAACAGGAGCTTAAAGCACTTGTCCCCAAAGGATGCCCCCTCCTTCTTGCCACTAAGCAGGGCAGTCATACCACTTCTATGGCTGAAGTTAGGTCCTGGCCCCTTGGCCAATCTGGATTACTAACTGAGGACAGGTTGGGGCAGAGAAGGCGGGGTAACTGACTGCCCAGGCCCTTCTGAAGGGACAGAACAAGCCTAAGTTCATCCCTACCCCTGTGCTGAGTTACCTAGCTTGTTCTTCATACCAAAGGTTTGAGATTGAAGGCCTCCCAATCTTGGAGTCAGGAAGACCTGAGTTCAAATCTGGCCTCAGACACTTGACATTTACTAGCCGTGTGACCCTGGGCAAGTCATTTAACCCCAATTGCCTCACCAAAAAGAAAAAAGCAAAAAAAAAAAATTTTTTTTAAAAGAGGCAGCTAGGTGGCCCAGTGGATAGAGCTCCTGCCTTGGAGTCAGGAGGACCTGAGTTCAAATCTGGCCTCAGACACTTGACATTTACTAGCCGTGTGACCCTGGGCAAGTCATTTAACCCCAATTGCCTCACCAAAAAGAAAAAAGCAAAAAAAAAAAATTTTTTTTAAAAGAGGCAGCTAGGTGGCCCAGTGGATAGAGCTCCTGCCTTGGAGTCAGGAGGACCTGAGTTCAAATCCTACCTTAGACACTTGACACTTACTAGCTGTGTGACCCTGGGTAAGTCACTTAACCCCATTGCCTACCTAAAAATAAAAAAATTTTAAAAGAAAGAATAATGTTAAAAAAAAAAAAGATTGCAGGCCTACTAATTAACTCCCATGCTCAAGATCTCACTCTTAGCCTGACTTGGGTGAGAGGCTCCTGGGTATTAAAGCTTTGGTTGGCAAAGAGGTAATGGCTAACTCCAACATCCCAGACCCCGTGGTACCTTCAGTGGCAAACAAACCACATTTGCCAGAGGAACTGAGTACTGGAAGTCTTGACAACTTTTACCATCCTCCATATGTATGTCTCTCCCCACCTCACACACATATCATTGTGATCAATTAGGTGCCCTCTAAATTCAATTAATGCCCTGTAGCCAAGCTCTGCTTTTCCCATCCTGGTTATAGATGTGCCCCCGTCCCTCAACTATTATGTTTGTATTCGTGTACCAGCTAGAAAAAAACACTCTCCACTTCTCATCCCCTCCAGATGCCTCCTCTTCTCAGGCTTCCCACCTTCTGCCCTTCCTTCAGCTCTACCTCCCAAATACACATCCTTATTCCTGAGCTCATTGCCCCCCAAATACATCGTTCAGTTCAGTGCAGACATGTCTGGCTCTTTCCTCCTGCCAAAAAATCTGCTTTTGCCCACTACCCAAGTTCCTGAAACAAGTCCCCTGCTGAATGCCAAATACCACCAGATCTTGACACAAAGGCCAGATGACACCTTTTGGTGCAGGTGGGTGAATGATGGAGATTTTAACTGAGATCCTTTTTTGGGGGACCTAAACTGAATGAGATACCCATTCTATTAGGAGGTGTCCTGATAGAGTGGAAAGGATTAGTTGACTTAGGTTAAATCTGCTACAACCCTTCCTAGGTGTATTCCCCGGGGTAAAGCAGTTCACTGGACTTCAGTTTCTTTATCCACAAAGTGAAGGGGCTGGCCTGGATTATCTCTCAGGACTCTTCCAGCTCCAGCATCCTATCACATCTCTTTGCCTGTTTCTTCATTTATAAAATGGAGATAATACAAATGGCAGGAACTTGTGGTGTCATAGATAGAGGGCTGGCTGGCTTTAATCCCACCTTTCACACATATCTCTGAGATGACCTTGGGCAGATCACTTAGCAACTCTCTGTAATCTAAATGACTGTAAATGACAAAAGATGCTGATCTGCCTCAGTGAAGAGAGTTTTCACACTGGGAGTTCCCTAGGGTAAGATCCCAGGCCCACAATACCCTCCCCTTCCCTCCCCACTCCCCAAATGCTCTACCTGCTTCACCAGGTTGTTGTGAAGAAAGTGTTCTATAAGCCTTAAAATGCCAAAAGAATGGGAGTTGGTGTTATTACAAAAACATTTTTATATTTTTCTTGTTCATTGGTTTTAGAAAGCATCTATGTTTGATGCCTGTTTGAATTGATTTGCATTGTCTTAAGCTGTGGTTTAAAAAAAAAGCTTTAACTTCAATTTTTTAAAATAGAGATTTGGTTGGGTATTCAACAAGTTTCTGTGATTTGCCATGGTTTTTGACTCACAGTTTGCTTTAAGACCATGGTGGGTAAGGATCCCAGCTCATCTTTCCATTTCCCCCCACCCCCCAACCAATCCTCTCTATCATTCTTTTCTCTCACCTTTCAAACGAGGCCCAGGAATAGATTCAAAATATCATGGAAAGTGTACTGGGTTGGGAGACAGAGTACTCAGTTCAAATTCTGGCTCTGTTGCTTATTGGGTGACCTGTCTCAGCTTCCTCTGTAATATACCATTAATTTGGAGCTAGAAGTGACCTCCTAGTAGGCCATGTAGTCCAAGGATGTTTGAGTAAGTGACTCATTCCTGCTCACCGAGGAATTAGATTAGATTATCTTTATATTCTACTATATCTCTAAATCCAGCTAAAGCCATAATCTCTTCCACGGCCAGATCACCCTTTCTGGATTCTCTCTCCTCCCTTTCCTGCTTCAAGTACCTTTAAGCACAGATAAATTAATGAAATAGCCCAAGTTCTCAGTTACTCTGTTTACAGTAGGCATCCCTAACTCCATAGTACCCCACCCCACCTACTCCTGCTCCCCTCCCAATAAATAAATAAATAAAACAAGAAAGCATGTTTTTAAAGTGAATATTTAATTAAGATCCAATCCCACCAAAAGGCTGGTGCGTTTCTCATTTGTTACAATAGTCTTAACTATAATGGCATCTAGAATTATACAAAATTGCCTCTCATTTACATTTGCATCTTTTGGAGTCACTCTTCTGAGTGCAAGAGTACTTTGTGTATCTTCCTCTCCCTCCCATTGGAGGTTGTCTGGATGTTACGCTGGGCAGTGTTTGCTTTTTCTGGAGAGGGCTGCTTACAATAATTAGATTTGGGGGGCAAACTATTAACTGTCTCCCAACAAACTGATTCTTCAGCACACTGCAGTCTGGGCCAGGTTTGCATGGCCTTGCCTCTACTGAGCCCAAATGGGGAACTGGTGTCCTGGACTCTGACTGATCATTTTGGAAGCCTGGATAAGCAAGCTGCTGTGAACTTCCATGCAGTATCTCTTTATTGTGTTGGCCTTGTGGCAGAGCACAAACAATCCTCACCACGTAGTCCTGACTCTCATTACTAGGAAACACACCACAGCTTTCACGGAAGTATTGATCACACTCAAGGGAACAGCAGATATCCAGGCATTCTTTCTCACTCACTGAGCAGGTTTGGAAGACCTAGGTCCCCGCTTGTGGGAATTATCTGTCTGGTCACTTCAGGATTTGCTTCAAGGTGCTCCCCAAGATCCCAGCTGTGCCTTCCAGCATCACTGCCTTTATCTTGTTGACCTTGAAGACTATTCTCCAATTGCCTTTCAGCCCTTTCTAAATCTTCCTCTGTTCTTAGAGTGATAACTTCCTTGGGTAACTTAGAAGTAGCCAGGCCAACTTTGGCTTCACAGCCAAATACAGCTTCATAGGGACTTCTTCAGATGCCTTCACGTTTGGCTCAATTTTTCATCATCTGGATGAAACGCAAACCCTCAGCCCAATGCTAGGTGTTGCTGGTCTGCACCCAGGTGGTCAGCATATTCTGAACATCTCAGCTCTTTCCACAGAGCCCTGCCTTTGGCTACGGACTGTTTTCAACTCTGGCCACATCTGAGTGATCTCTTTGACTATCTGGATGGAAACGTCTCTGCTGTTGTTGGACTGTAAAACACTGGATGTCCCCAAAACTGTGAAGATATCCAATAGGACCTGTGCCACTTCCTGGGCCTATTTGAGGTAAGTGGATGTAAAAAAACAAACTTTGTAGATTAGTCTTGTAAAATCAAGATAAAAATGTAGATCCCAACAGGATTTGACTGCATATCAATGAGATCAGCTTGACACATCAAATTAAGTTCCTTAAAAACTTTTGGTCCTGGCGCAGTGGATAGAGCACTGGCCCTGCATTCAGGAGGCCCTGAGTTCAAATCCAGCCTCAGACACTTGACACTTATTAGCTGTGTGACCCTGGGCAAGTCACTTAACCCCACTGCCTAACCCCCCAAAAAAAACCCTTTTGGTCCTAAACCCTTTTTGGTCATGTTGTTCTGCTGTTGGCAAGGTCTGCAGAGTATCAGGTAAAATCTAATGATTTCTCTTGAAATGTTCTTGTATTTCCACTGTAACTCTCTTTCCATGCAAGTACACCCACCATGACCAATACTGTGATGTGTCTCATGCAAAATGTCAAATAACTCTGAACATAGAATTGAATTTCAAAGGACTTTCCTTTTAGTAACTCAATCAGCTTCTCATCACCTTGTGTAATGATCACATCAAATATAGCCAAGCACCTATAATCAAGGGACTCCTTCTTTGCATTTGCCTTGGCATCCATCACTTCCTTGATGAGCTGGCAATACTTCTCTTTGGTAAACAGGTTACAGTTCTTAGTTTTACTCTCCAGTAACTTCCTGAGATACCCCAAGAACTTCTCTCTCATGCTTCTCCACTGCATTTCTGTGCCATTTATCTCGGCAGTGATGAAGCGTCCATCACTCTGTGACATCATGAGAGTCTTGAAGAATGATCGATCCTAGGGACACAAAAGAAGCCCTCAGAAATTGGAGTGACTGGCTAGGAGCACAGAGATGAGCCAAACCATAGAATCATAAAATCTCAAGAGTTGGGAGGGATTTTAGAAGGCATCAAAATCCAACTTGAGAAGAAATCTCTTCTATTCATCCTCCTAGATGGGGTCACCTTGCTTCAGCTTGAAGGCCTCCAGGGAGAGAGAGCCAGTATGGAAGAGTGGGAAGAACATTATGGAGGAATTGGAACCTCTAGGTTCAAGTCTTAGGTCTTACTAGTTAGGTGACCCTTGACAAGTCACTTTACCTCTATGACTCCAAATTTCCTCATCCATAACATTGGGATAATAATACTTATTCTGCCTACCCCATAATGTTATTAAAGCCTTTTGCACAAAGTGAGAGGAAAGGGAGAGGGCAGACCACTGATTTCATCTATATCAGGAACTCTCAATGTGGAAGCTGTCCCCACTGGTGTACCTCAGAAGCCTGCCAGAGGCAACAGGCCTTGGACACAGGCCTGACTCCAAGGCCGTCCCTCTCTGCCACATTGCCAGTCAGTAGGTACTTGGCAAGCATGAATTGGATTGTACATTTTAAAGCCCTATAGATCTGTGAGATAATTTTTATTAGAGCTCACTATCTCTGCAGTGATTGATCTATGAGTGAGTATATATGAAATGCCTAATATATGGCAGACTTTGTGCTGAGTGCTGGGGAGACAAAGACAAATGAAACAGCCCCCACCCTCAAGGAACTGACTGTCAGGCAATTAGCATGTACACATCTAAAGAGATACAGAATACATACAAAGCAAACACAAGATCATTACCTTTTTTGGGGGGGCGGGGGGAAGAGACACTAGCAGCTGAGAGGGGACCAGGAGGGCATCATTTAGAAGAATGGTGAAGGTCTTCAAATGCTCCTATAAGCAATAGAGAGCCACTGGCATCTTCATGACCAGGAGTGTGACATAGTCAGACTTGTGTTTAGCAATATCCCTTTGGCTGCTCTATGGAGCATGGATTGGAGAGGGGAGAAACTGGTGACAGAGTGGCCAATTAGGAGGCCCAGGAGAGAGATGATGGAGTGGTGGCCCTGAGGGGATGGATTCAAGGTAACATCAACAAGACTGGGCATCTGTTTGGAAATGAGAGTGAGGCAATGTGTTGCAGTGGAGTCAGAAGACATGGGTTCAAATCCTGCCCCTAATAGTAATTGTGGATAAATATTTCTTGTTGTGTTATGACCTTGGGCAAATCACTGAACCTCCCTGGGCCCCAGAATCCTTTTTTATAAAATGAGGGTGTTGGAGCAGATGGTCTCTGAGGTCACTTCCAGCTCTGGTTCTTTGATCCCTATTGGAGGCGAGGGAGAGTGAACAGCCCATTCCACTTCTGAACAGCAGCCTTGTTTGGAGGTTCTTCCTTAGGCTGAGCTAACATCTATCTCCTTGACGCTAAACCCCGTTAATCCTGCCTTCTGACAAAAAAAAAGTTATTTTTATATACATATATATATATGTATGTCTCATCCTTTTTTTATGTGATAACCTTTCAGATATTTGAAAGCCTGTCCCCAAGCTGGGAGGGTCCTCTGAGGTCCAACCTGAGCAGGGATCCCCTCCATAGCATCTCAGACAAGTCGTCTTCAACCACCTCCAAAAGAAGACCTTCAAGGATTGGAAACCCACTCCTTCCCAAGGCATCGCTTTGTAACTCTGGGTAGCTCTAATTGTTCGGAGGGTTTTCCTTTTCATTGAGCTGAAATTACTTCTCTCCATTTTACATCCCAAAGCTCCCCTGGGCTGGAGCTACCTTCTTAGTAAAACCAGAACAAGTACAGTCCTTTGCCATATGACCATGCCCTTCAGATACTTGAACCTTTCCCTACAGTACTGGGACTGAACAGTGGGGGAGCCTAAGGAATTAAGGAAAGAAGAGGAAAAAGAAGTTTGCCACACACGCATTTAGAATGTTCTCCGGTCTCTGCCCTATCCCAGTCCTCCACATCAAGTCCCACCTTCTGGATCTCTCCTGACTCTTCTCTCCTTTGAACTTCCACAACACAGTCTATAGTCTATTTACCTTTTAATTGTAGGCTAGTCACAAATGTTTCATGTTAGCTTCTGGAGGGCAGGGATACGCATTATGCTTCTCTTTCCCTCAGAATACCAAGTCAGAGCTAAGTACACAATAGGAGCTCCCTAAATCCTTGTTACCTGACTGAACAAAAGGAAGACAAGAAACAAAGAGGAAAAGAAGAGAGAAGGAGCAGCTAGGTGGTGCAGTGGATAGAGCACTGGCCCTGAAGTCAGGAGGACCTGAGTTCAAATCCAGCCTCAGATGAAACACTTGACAGTTACTAGCTGTGTGACCCTGGGCAAGTCACTTAATCCCAATTGCCTAAAAAAAGAAGAGAGAAAAGCACCTTTCATAGGCCATACCCTTCTCTCCATGTGGAGCTTCAGTCCCCAGCAATTGGGTGCTGTTGAATGTTGAGGTTTTGGGGCTTATGGGTGCTTGGACTCCAAAACAGCAATACGCGAGTCCTGCCCAAATGAATTTGATCCAAGCCTTCTTTCAGCCAAAGACAAGGTTTATTAAAGATTCGCCATATTGGCCAGACTCTTAAGGAAGCTGGGCATTTGTGACACTCGTATTGACTAGAGTGAATCTCAGCCATTGGCTAGATTTTAAGAGCCTGAGGACCTTAATGGAGGCAAAATAGACCTTATATGCAGAAAGACAGTGGGAGAGATCTAGGAGTGGCCAAGTAGTCTGAAGTGACTGTGAGGAGGGGTCTAGGGAGGATCTGGATGGGAGTGGCCAGTAAACTGGGGTGACTGGGAGGTAGAACACCAGGGACCTGAACCAAGTGGCCAAGGGAGACTGGGGTCTAGGTAGGAACAAGGAATGGAGGACTAGGGTGGGGCCAGGTACAGACAGTGAAAGAGCAGTTAATTGACTGGGAAGGGCTGATTGCCCCAGGCAAACACCAGGGACCTGGGCCACCAGGACTTTTCCTTTTTGGGGTTCAGATCCCATCCCCATCAATGACATCTGGATCCAGTCCTCCATTATTTCTCCACCCTCATATAAAAAAGGTTCCCTCCTACTCCCCAAATTAGTTCTTAACAGACTTCTCCCCTTCTCCAACCCTATAGAACATTATAGCTAGAAGGGACCTTAGAAGTCATTGAATCCAACTCCTTCACTTTGAAAATCAGAAAACTGAGGCCTAGAAAGTGAAGTGACTTACCCAAGGTCATACAGACAGTAAACAGTAGATGTGACATTTGAAAGCAGACTTTTTGACGATATCTGTACCTGTCTCTCTCTCTCTCTCTCTCTCTCTCTCTCTCTCACACACACACACACACACACACACACACACACACGGAGTGCCAACCTTAGAACCCAGTCACCTGCTATGTGTGCAAGGAACTCAGAGACCCCAAAAAAAAGTTATTTCTTCGCTAAGAGAGTATTTGTGTGCTGTACTGTTATTAGAAAGCTCTTGCTCTAACAGGGAGAAGGGAGTAGAGGAGCTTCAGCCTGGTCTTGACAGCCTGTGTCTGTGTAACTTCTAGAACAGGAATACAGACTATCACTTATTTTATAGATGAGGAAACTGGGACCCAGAGACTTGCCCAAAGTCACCCAGCTAATAACAGCTTCAGCATTCAAAGCCAGGTCCTCTTGATTCCAAATCCAGGCTCTTTCCACTACAGCAGTGATTGCTTTCATTCCACCCTTTGACCCATTACTTCCTGCTGCCATTGAAGGAACTGTACTACTATTGCCTCCTAACCTGGTTGGCTACCTTAACCTCCTCCAAAACCTGTTCCATTCCATTAATCCCAATAGCTTTTGCTGTATCTAGTCTCTTCTGTGTAGGCTCCTTCCCCTCAGGCTATGAATATGCTCATATCTGCCCTTTTCTAAAAATAATCTTTCAACCCTGATACCCTCCCCGCCCCACAGTTGTCTCCTCTGGCTTCTTCCCTCTATGACAAACTTCAAATAGTCTACACACCCTGTTTCATTTTCTCACCACCCACTTACTTCTCAACCCCTAGCATCTGGCTTCCACCTCCACCCCACTGCTAAAACTGCTCTCCCAAAGGTCACCGAGGACAGCATTAACTACAAAATTGAGTGGTCTTTTCCTAGCCTTCATTCACCTGGGCTTCTCTTGAGGTTGACCCTGCTGCTGCAGACCAACCCTCCTACTTGACACTCTCTTGGCTTCTGACATGGGATGGACAGGGCCCTTGTTTTTATCCCTCTGATTTCTCTGATTGTTCCTCATGTTTCCTTCCATGGTTCCACTTTTTCTTCCAGCTCTCTAAACATAGGCATTTCCAGAGGCTCTGTTTTCAGCTCCTTTCTTGGTAGGCTCTACCCTTTCTCCCTTGATCATTCATCTACTCCTTTGGTTCTAACTCCCTCTTATGCAGATAACTCCCAGATAAGCATTCATTAAGCACCTACTATGTGGAGCTGTTTGAGGTGTTCAGAGAGGACTGGCACCTCTGGCATAAGGGCTTACTGAACCCTTTTCAGAGCTGCTCAGCCACCTTTGGTGTCCACCTGTCACCCAGCTCCAAGAAGCTGAAGCACCTGCAGTGGCCACACCTCAGTAAACCATCTCGGCAGGTGGGCTAAACCAGGTTGAGGGTAACTAACAGGCCTCAAACCCATTGGTAAGTTAACCTCAAACCCAAAGCATGTGAAGACTTCTCCTGGTGAAATGGGTGGATGAGGATAAGACTCCAAGGTCATCCACTACATCCCAGGCCATCGACAGTCATCCCGACTTTTGTCTCACCACTGAACTTAGATGCCTCTGGGAGAGTGAGGCTGACAACTTTGTGCAACTCTGCCTAACTTAAATCCAATTCGCTCACAAGTCAAGTCATCACCCCATGATGTCATTGGTGCTCTTTGAAATGAAGGACAAACAACAGCTATGTGCCAGGGACTGTGCTAGGTGCTGAAGAGATAAAGGCCAAATTGAAACATTCTGCCCTCCAAGAGTTTATATTTTATTGTGGGGGTTGCAACATATTGATAGAGAAGTACAAAATATATGCAAAACAAATTTAAGGTAATTTTGGGAAAAGTAACAACTCAGAGAAATAGAAGTAATGGGGGATAGGATTTGCACTGGACCCCTAAAAGGAAAAGACCATGTCTTTGGGACCTGGACCTCAAAGCCCCTGAATCCAGATCTCTGATGTTCACTTGAGGCACCCAGCCCACCCTAGTCAATAATCCTTTTAACTGTCCTTTCGTTGTGGCCCTCATTGTGTATACCTGGCCCACCCCAGGCTACTTGCCACTCCTAGACCCCATCCAGATCTTTCCAGTCTTTCTGTATAAAAGTACAAATTTTATCCTCATCAAATGTGCAGATTCTTTAAGAATCCGGCCCTCTTCTATTTGCAACATAATAAACCTTGTCTCTGACTAAAAGGTCTAGGGGTGCTAGGAACCCCAAAATGCAAGGGTACAGGGCAGGAGTCTGCCTTGAAAGAATTCAACCACTCAAGCCTTCTTTCAGTCCAAGTAGCAAGTTTATTGTAACACCAATAGAGGCAGGCCAGACTGCTAGTGAGTCTGCAGTATTTGTGATGCCAATACAAGCAGGCCAGATTTTAAGAACCTGTGCATTTGAGGAGGATAAAATTGGCACTTTGATACATCCTCAGCAAATCCTCCCAGTGGACTAAACTGATGGCCAAATAGCTAGTGTGAGAGAGAGAGAAAGCTTTAAGGGACAGAAGAGATAAGAACGTGAGATAACAACTTCCTTTGTACTCATATATACTCATATATTCTCATATACTTCTATATATACATATATATGAGTATATACTCATATACTCATATATTCATATACTCATATATTTATATTCCCACACAGTGGCCATGGGCTGGCCACATGGACTGGAGTCCACATGTAAGTACAAGAATGGACAATCAAAGGCTCTCCCCTTTCAGCACATGACCAAGAGAGGAATTTTGCTGGTTTGCCACAAATAGTTATTTGTAGGTCACGTCAACACCCATCAGAGAAATCACACACCTCTGGTGAACTGAACAGCCAAGCTGATATCCTTACAAAAACGGTAGAGATTGGGGAGTTGTTCTATCACCAACCTGGACATGGGAACCACAATGCCATGTTGTGATGAACATGAGACACTATGATTCTCCTAAGGACAAAATGGCTACTTTGACTTCAACAGTGTTTCTTCTGCCAACTGGAGCACCCACCTCTGGAAAGACCAATATGGTATAATCCTATGTGGTCCCCAACTTTCTTTCCAACTGATGGATTATATTGGCCCTCTTCTCACATCTCAGGACAAAAAGGTTGCCTGTAATGCATTTGTTACCTATTCCAGATATGATATTGCTATGCTAGATGAGTCTGCTGCCATAGCAGCTACCTTCTAAGTTCTCACAGTATGCATCTTTAATCCTTATAACCCCCCTGCACCATTATCTCTGATCAGGGTACCCACTTCACCTCAAAAATGATGCCTTCACATATATTGGGTTTTCCATCTCCCAAATCATCCTTATGTAGCAGGCATTGTTGAAGTCTGGAATTGCCTTGGGAAATAATGATTTTGCCATCATAGCCCTGACTAACTTAGTTGGGTGTCCCATCTCCCAGAAACCATGTCCCCAACAAATTGATGCTACTCTAGGAAGTGGAAAGAATGTCTGGTCCAATAGTTTCTTGGATTTGGCCTCTAAGAAGACTTACCAGATAAAGATGGTCCGCTTTTAGATATAATCCTAACTGACCCACTCTGGTCCTTCTTTATTCCACCCCAAGTCACCACATCTTCATAGTCTCTTCCTATTAAGGGAGTCATCATATATCCTGGGAAAATGGCTCAGGTCCCCTTCAAATGATAGCTCTTCTTTCCCCAGTTTGGTTCAGACAACCCCTTCCCAGAAAGTGTTTGGGGGACTATGGGTAGAATTATGGGGAGATGACATGAAAGGAGGGGAAACTGCCTCTTTAACTGTTGTTGTTTATCCTTCATTTTTTAAGAGGACCAATGACATCACAGGGTGATGTCTTGACCTGTGAGTGAACTGGATTTAAGGGAAACAGAGTAGCACAAAGTCCTGGGCCTCACTCTCTCTTGCTGAGTCATCAAAGTCCAGTGACAAGTCAGGATGACTGGAGATGACCCAGGATGCAGTGGATGACCTTGATGTCTTCAGTACCCGACCAAGCTCTAAGCACTCCACAGCACCAGCTTCAGCTGCCTTTATGGTCATTGGAACAAAGTGTCCTCATCCACCCATTCTGCCAGGAGAAGTCTTCACATGCTTAGAGGAGACATCCCCCTGACTCACCGACAGGTTTGAGGCCTGCCAGTTACTCTCAACCCAGTTTAGCCCAGCTGCTGAGATAGTTTTACCAGGCAGTGGCCGCTGCTCATGCTTACAGCTTCTTAGAGGCACAGGTAAGAATTGGGTGAAAGGTGGACATCAAAAGTGGATGGGTAGCTCTGAAAATAGAGGTGCTAGTCCTCCCTGAACCCCTCATGGTGGCTGAAAATTTACCTGGAAGAAAGGATATCCCTTAGCTAATTTAGTGGTAATCCTGAGCCCCTGGATGAAGTGAGGGACAGTCCTATCTAGCTGCTGCAGAAGAAGTAGGCAGGCCCTCAGCAGAGGCCTCTTAAAAGGCAAGTATGTGTTATCGTCCCCCAGAGAGGGCTCCCAGGGAGTAGGAGAGTTTGGTTGGTGGGCTAGGACTGATGGAAGCAGCGTGTATCTCAGTAACAACTCACATCCCAGGACAGTTTGCATGCAAGAGGCTTTTGATCTATTGGCTGCTTTATTCTAGTGGACCTTGACCGTAATGAGAGTAATGAACGTGAGTGCCATCTGTGCTACGGCCCTAATGTTGCTTGTGTTGTTCCTGTTCATTGTCACATACCTGGAAGGTTTTCCATCTTCACCTCTGGCTTCCTGCTTCCCAGGATTCCTTCAAGATTCAACTCAGATCCCATCTTCTTCATGAAGCCTTCCCAGGCCTTACCACTGCCGCTTGTCTCGTACTGTATATGTCTTGTAGGTACTTAGTTATTTAGGTGTTGTTTCTGCCATTAGGAACAGAGGCTATGCTTTTGCCTTTTTTGATCCACAGCATTTAGCACACTGCCTGGCACACTGTGAGTGCTTAAGAAATTTTTTTTACAATGTTTTCGCATGCTACTGGGAAATGGGAAATATAGGAAATGGGGTACAGAAGTCTGTCCTGCCCTACAGGAAAATAGAGGGGGAGGGGGATAAGAGAAGGGGGGAGGAGATAGAAGAGAGGATAGACTAGGGGAAGGGATATTCAGAGTGCATGCCATCTTGGGATGGGGGGAGGGGTGAGATGGGGTGAAAATTTGGAACTCAAAATCTTGTGGAAGTAAATATTGAAAACTGAAAATAAATTTATATTTTAAAAAATTTTTTTAAAGAAATTTTTTTTTACTTAATTGTCCTTGAGAAATTTTTCTAAAAGTTGTGCCCCCTTCCCCCCCCCCAAAAAACCCTAAAACGAAAACTTTCAAAACATTTTTAGGAGGAGAATAAATCTGCTGAATCAAAGTTTGAGACTGAAATTACCAGGAGGCTGGAAATCAATGCTTGAGAACATATAAACTTATAGGTGGATATAATATTCCATAACATGGATATTCTATTAAGGTAGACATTGCATTTCATAATATATACGGAACATATAAATCTTATAGTGGAGGGACTCAAAGGCCATGCTAAGAAAGAGTGATTAGTCTTACAGCCAGCAGTCTCAGATGTTGTACCAGTTAGGGCTACTCCAAACATAATGCAACAAACATTTATTAAGCAAATGCTTATTAACATCCTACTATGTGTGTTGGGCTGGAAAAGGCATAGCGCTTAGATCAGACATGGTCCCTACCCTCATGGAGCTCACAGTCTAAGTGGGAAGAATAAAATACTTTTCTCACGACCAGAGATTGGGCAATATTGTATATCATGATAGTTAGTGCAGTAGAGATGCAAACATGAGCAAAGTTCTGTATAAAGTCTGAAGAGGAAGATGAGACCAGAAGCTTCATGTAGGAAGTAGCATTTGAGTTCTGCTTTAAAAAAAGAAAGTTTAGAAATTCAACAGGAAAAGAAGGGGAGGGGGAACAGGCGTAGGGAGCCATATGAGCTAAGACACAGAGGTAGGGGAGTGCAAGGCACATTTGAGGGAAATGGTGAGTAGTAGTTCAGCTTGGCTGAAGCACAACACGAATGGAAGGGGGTTGTATGAAATTAGGCTGGAAAGGTGGATTGACGCCAGATTGTGGAAGGCCCTGGATGCCTGCACCACAGAATGCTGTATCAGCTAGGAAGAACACACTGACATCTGCCAGCTCTAGCTAGAACCAGCAGGATGTTTTCCTCATTGCCTGGCATAACAACACCAACCCCCAGTTCACTCCTCAGGCAGCTGGGCTGCTCTTCAGTCCACTGCCTTGGGCTGCTAACTGCCTTGGCAACAGCAGGCCCTTCTCATCAGCTGACGTTCACCTTTCTGACAATCTCCCTTCCCTGATGGGTCAAGATAGCTTCCTAATAATACCAGCTCATATTGCACTGGCTCTCTAAGGTTTGTAACCTTGCATGATAGATGATGCAAATATTGATCTACCCAAATTCTACAGACAATGAGAATGATGCTGAGAATATTGGTTTGGTGATTTGCCTGCTCACACAAGGGGCAGGGCCAAGACTGAAACCCAGGCTTTCTGAACCCAGGACCAGTGCTCCTTCCACGAAATTTAGATGGTGATGTGAGTGGCATCTATCTGTCCCAGGCATGGGGGGTGGGGATGGCCCAAACTTTCCTAACAATTAGAGTTAGGCCAAAGAGGTTGGCTTGAGAAGTAGTGAGCTCCAGGGGCAGTTAGGTAGCATAGTGGATAGAGCTCCAGCCTTAGAGTCAAGAGGACCTGGGTTCAAATATGACCTCAGACACATGACACTTACTAGCTGTGTGACCCTGGGCAAGTCACTTAATCCCAATTGCCTAAAAAAGTTTTTTTTTTTTAAAAAAGAGAGAAGTAGTAAGCTCCCTATCACTAGAGGGAGACTGGATGATCACTTTTCACGAATGTTGCAGAGGCACTGAGGTACAGTAAATAGAGTACTTACTGGCCTTGGTGTCAGGAGAACCTAGGCAAATCCTGCCTTTGGTATCTGTGTGACTTTGGGCAAATCATTTAACTTCCCTGAACCTCAGCTTTGACTTTAAAATGCCCCCAGAGTTGGTAGGAGGATTAAATAAGATTATACATATAAAATACTTTGCAAACTTAAAGTGGGATCCCTTAAACCCTCTTAATGCTTGTACTTCCCTCAGAGATTATCTCTTATTTATACTGTATATATCTTGTTTGTATAGCTGTTTAGGTGTTGTCTCCCCTATAAGATTGTGAGATACTTGAGAGCCGGCACTTTTTTTGCCTTTCCTTTATCTCCACTGGGGATGTGCCAGTGCCTGGCACATAGTAGGCACTTAATAAATGATTGCTGATGTCTAAGGGCAAATAATTATCATTATCATCATTGAGGTTATTTCTGTTCAGGTATAATTTGGACTGGATAACTTCTGAGGTTCCTTCCAATTCAGAGATTCTAGAATAAAACCAGTGAGTTTGTAGTAGGGGTTTTGTTTTTCTTGTTTTTTCAATGGGAATGGGTGGGATGAGAAGTGGGGGGGAGAGAAAATGGTAAATAGTTTTTGGAAAATAAAATAAAAATTTTTTAAAGAAAATCAAACAAAAAACAGGATAGGACAGGGCAAGATTAGGAAATGTAGTCTAATCCAGTTTGGCTGAAACCTAGAGTGCATGAAATAATATTAAGGCTAGGAGGCTAGAAATAATAAGTCTGGAAAATAGGATTTGGAGTGGGGAAGGGCCTTAAATGCCAAGAGAATGAATTTAGATTTTAAAGGTTTCTGAACAAGGGAAGGACACAGTCTGAACTGGGCATAAAGAAAATAACTCAGGCAATGTCTGCAGGTCAGATTAGGGAAGAGCAAGAAAGGCAGGGAGGCCTTTTTGAGGACTGTTATAGTCTTCTGTAGCCCCCCAGGGGAATATGTCATCAGAGTTAGAAAGAAAGAAGAAAGAAGTGATGTCCTCAGAAAAAACAGAACTTGGCAAATAGTTTGATGTGTAAGGCAAAGATGATCTCAAGGTTTCAAATCTGATTGACAAGGAAAAGTGAGCAATTGTGCCAGAAACAGAAAAGTTAGGAAACCTGATTCCTTTTTTGACAGTTACTAAGATGAAGGCAATGCTATAACAGTTTATTTGGCTTTCAGCAAAACTTTTAACATAATGTCTCGTACTACTATTTTGTAGAAATGAAGAGTTATAGATTAGAGAGTTAAAAAAAAAATTAGATGAATTCAAAACCAGTTGATGGCCAGATTCAGAATAGTTGTTAATGATTCAATGTCAATGTGGCAGTGGAGTGCCCCAGGGGTCTGCACTTGGCCCTGTGCTGTTAAACATTTTTGGTCAACTGGGACAAAGGCATAGAAGTCAATACAAGTTGGGGAGGCATGGTTAGACAGCAGTTTGGAGATGTTCTGGACATTTTAGTGAACTATAAGCTTGAGTTGAGTCAGGACAAGGTCAATGTGATCTTGGGCTGCATTAGAAGGGGCACAGCTGCAGAAAACTGGGAAAAACTTTCACAGTCTCTCAGATAGGAGGTGATTGTGTTGGAATACTGCTACGGTATAGGAAATGATGAGCTGGCTGATTTAGAAAAACATGGAGAGACTTGGACCTATGAAGGAAGCTGCTATCCACCTCCAGAGAAAGAAATGACAAATATATGCATAGTATGATCCTATATGTATGTGTATGAGTATATATGTGTACATATGTGTATGTTTATAGATATCTGTGCATGTGTGTGTGTGTGTATATACACACACACATATCCAAGTTTAATTGTAGCCTTCTTGGGAAGGGGGGTGAGGGAGAAAAAAATATAGTAAAAAGTACACAGCAGAGAACAAAAGAAAATCTAGAAGGAAACAAAGAAAAATTGGGTAGCTTTGAAAATAACATAGATTTTCTTGAAGTGGAAATTTATTGCATTATATTCAGTCCCCTCATAAATTATGTTCTGATGTATACATGGAAATTTTTTTTTGTTCTTTTCTCATTTGGTATTTAAGTTTAAAATGAATAAAAATTTTTCAAAAATAAATATTTTTTAGAAGAAGGGGCACAGCTTCCAGGAATAAGGAGGGGCTAGTCCCACTATACTCTGTCCTCGTTAGAGCACGGGGTTCTATGAATAGGAAAGACACTGTTCAGCTGGAATGTCAAGAGGAGGGCAACCAGAGAGGTGAAGGGCAGTGAGACCATATTATAGGATTAGTTAAAGGAACTAAGGGGTTTTAGCAAGAAGAGAAGACTCAGGGAGACATGATAGCTACAGCCACATAAAAGTTATCATGCAGAAGAATTCTGTTTAGGGGCAGTTGGGTGACGCAGTGGATAGAGCACCAGCTCTGGATTCAGGAGGACCTGAGTTCAAATCCGACCTCAGACACTTGACACTCATAAGCTGTGTGGCCCTAGGCAAGTCACTTAACCCCATTGCCTTGCCAAAATAATAATAAATAATAATAATAATAATAATAATAACAATAATAATTCTGTTTAGCTGCACAGGGGCCAAATGAAGGGCTTTCTACGCCGAGAAACTGCTTGGAAGTTGCAAAGAGGCCAGTGTGGATTCGATGTCAGGAAAATTTTCTAAACACTTAGAATTGTCCAAAAATGAAATGGGCTGTTTTAAGAAGTGGTGGGTTCCCTTTCCTTGGAGGTCAGCACTTATAAGAGATTCTAGAGTGGAGACATCTTTAAGTATGAACTGTAGTAGTTGCATACTTATGTCCCCTCCAACTATACAATTCTGTGATTTTGTGATTTTACAAATGAGGAAACTGAGGTTCTTTAGGAACTGAGGCTCAGGAAACTGAGTCTAAATAGAACTAGAAATTGAATTCAGTACTTCTGACCCTAGATCCCTTGTCTTGATCCTATGAATTCTGGCATGGTGTGAGCAGGAATTTCATTTTGAGGGTGAAACTTGAGCTTGGCCTTGAAGGCTGGCTCTTAAACAAGTGGAAGAGGAGGGA